GGCAAGAAACTGCTCTTGCCTAGACTGCTTGACTGTTGCTGTATAAAATGGACATGCAGGACCCACAGGAAAGTGACTGCTGAACTCAAACAGTTCTTCAGGGTTCCTGCTTCATGGAAGAGTCTACGAGACTTTCTGCAGGACACAGAAAAATGACTGACAGACTGCCAATGTAGATGGACAGTCTGAAATTTCCTGCTTTGCTGAGAAGTCTTCTGGACACATTTTGGCCTATCGGCTGAAGATGGATGTCCCAACATTACAGAGAAACTTCAGGTGACTGCCCAGGCAGCAAGATGTCTCTGTCAATCCTAGTGTTTATATATTATCCTTCTATGGTCTTTGATAGAGTTGAAGGCAGATAGTTATAATTATAGTTTTCCTTAGTCATGATAAAAGATAAGCTACATATAGAACTTTGGACTCACAAGGATGGGATGGATGATATTTTCTTTAAATCTTGCTAATGTTGATAGACAAAAATTGTAACTGTGTTCTTACTTGATAATTGTTCTGTTATATATAATATGACTATGTTAAAGTTAAAACCTTTCTTTTTATTTAGACAGAAAAGAGGAGATTATGGGGAAGTCCTATGTACATGTCAATAAAGCACTGTTGGCCAATAGGGAACCAAGATAGGTGGGACTAGGAGTCCAGGAGGACTCTGGGTAGGAGAAACACAGGGAGTCAAGATGTAACTGCCATATGGATAAGAAGCCTGGAAACTTTTCTCCAGTAAGAGAAATACTTAGATTAACAATTATGGGGTAAATACTTAAGTCAGAGCCAGCCAGTAAGAAACAAGCAAGGCCAACAGCTTCATAATTAAAACAGCGTCTTGTGTGTTATTTGGGGACTACAATGCGGTAGAGCCCAGGCGACTGGTGGGGAAAAACCAAAGCAGCTGGCAAGGAAAAGGCTTCTCTCTACACAGGACACCACTGTTTCCTCCTTCATTCCACATGTTCCAGTTAGAAAGAATCTGGAGTAAGAAATGGTCCAGTTAGTAAAGTGCTTGCCTTGTAAGCAGCACCCATATTAAAAAATAAAAATAAATATCTGGGTGTGGTAGTGTGCCCTTGGGAATTCAGCAGGATTTGGAAATCCAGCAGGAGGATTCCTAGGGATGATCAAAAGCACAGTAGGTGGCTCATGAGGGTGACAGCAGCTTCCTCACATGTGCACACAAAGGAACCACCACCCCAACACACACACACATACACACACACACACACACAAAAGGGAAAAGAAAATGGGGTGTGGTGACATGGGGCCTGTAATTCCATCTAGCACTTGGGAAGTTAAGGCAGGCGAATTGTGAATTCAAGGCCAGAACAAAGAGTAAGACCCTGTCTCAAAACACCTAAAGGAGCAGAAAGAGGCAGAAGAAAAGGAGGAAAAGGGGACGAAGAGGAGGAAGATCGGGAGGAGGAGGGCAAGAAAATAAAACATTAGTCCAGCATGATGGCACACACCTTTAATCCCAGCACTTGGGAGGCAGAATCAGATGGATTATTGTGAAATACTTAAGTATGTAAAGATGTGTTATATTTGTTATGCTGAGGAATATTATTTTAACTATATAAAGGTGTGTTACATTTGTTTCTGCTGCATTTGCTTAACTATGTAAAGATGTGTTGCATTTGTTTCACCTTGCCTGCCTAAGGCACCTGATTGGTCTAATAAAAAGCTGAACAGCCAATAGCTAGGCAGGAGAGAAACAGACAGGATTAGACAGGGCAGAGAGAATAAATAGGAAAAATCTAAGCTTATGAGAGAAGAGACAAGAAGAAAAGAGAAGAGGAGAGGAGAGAAGAGGAGAGGAGAGGAGAGGGGAGAAGGATGGGGAAAGAGAGGGACACTCCTGAGGATAAAAGCCAACCAGTCACCAACCAGACATGAAGTGAAAGTAAGTTATATAGAAGAAAAGAAATTTAAAAAGCCCTAAAGCAAAATGTAGATGAATAGTAAGAAATGAGTCTAAGCTAAGGCCAAGCATTTATAACTAATATGTTTCCATGTTATGATTTGGGAGCTGGTTGGTGATCCAAAAGAAAGTCTGGTACGATGGATCTCTGAGTCAAGTCCAGCCTGGTTTACTTAGTGAGTTCCAGAATATCCAGGAGTATGTAGAAATATCTTGTCTCAATAAGAGAAGAAAAGGGAGAGGAGGAGGAAGAAGAAGAAAAATGAGGAGAGAAAACACAAGTCATGGGGAATTCTATCTCGAGCCCAGCTCTGAGACACTATGATATTCCTCTTGGACACTCCATCTCCCCATTCTGCTCTTCGTGGTGTTCTTCTCCTGGACTCTGGGAAAGATCAGGAATCTTGAGGTATCACAAAGCTACCTAGATGTTCCTGCTGCCATCAGTCAGTATGAGCAGTGACATCCCTTAGTTTATCAGCCTCCTAACTCAGCCAGTCTCTTCCTTTCTCCTGACTGTTTCCCTGCCCCCTCCACTTGCCTGAACACAACTGTAAACCTTCCAGCTGTGACTTAGAAGCTTCCTATTGGTGATCTTCCATGAGCAATTGTGGCCCTGATTCATCCCAGTGTCCAGACACATCCTCAGTTCTTAGCCACAATACATCTCTGCTGGATCCAAATTCAAGTTTGCTCTCTTCCTTTCTCACTTTGTTCCCATTTTCCATCCCTGAAATACTGTCCCTTCCCCAACTCCCATCTTTCACAGGAAATTGTATTACCCCAACAGGAGTGCTATGTGCCAGGGTGTCAGTGAGTTGACTGTGTGGGATGACCATGTGACAGCTTTCCCATTCCATCAAAGGTGTGGCAATGGGGAAGGCTCGCTTCTGTAAGAGAAGGAGGATGTGGGACTCTCTGTGGCTTTTGCTGTGGGGCCAAAACTTCGAAAATATATCCAGTAAAAATTGAATCCTGCCAGGGGAGGATATGCACACCTTTGATCCCAGCACTCAGGAGGCAGAGACAAGTGAATCTGTGATTCCAAGGCCAGCCTGGTTTACATGATGAGTTTCAGACGGGCCAGAGCTGCATAGTGTGATCCTGTCTCAAAAAAATGCACCAATCATTCTGATGATCAGCAGGCAGGAAGGGCAGAGTGCTAACAAACTGGGGAATCAGTGGATACGGCAGCCAGGAGGCCACATCTCACAAGGAGGGAACAGTTCAGGGGAGCCTTATTTCTTCAAGGTGCCAAGAAAAGTTAAGCTGCAAAACAAACAACAGAACCCTCCATCAGAGTCTGGGGTGGTAGGGGCGGGGCAGCCGCCACAGACTGGAACTGACACCCTTAGCAACTCAGATGCTCCAAACACACAGTATACTCCACTACATGCAAACACAGGGCAAGGTCACTCTTTAAGGCACCTCTGCTCCTTCTCCCTGCATTAGGACCCAGCCTGTTTCTGTATCGCCACCTTTAAACACACAGCAAGAAGCCAGCAGGTACAGCTATAGTGGCTTAAGAAGATGGAGTAAAAGAGCCTGAGGGCTGCTTCTGACCTGCACACACATGCTCGAGGACACACACACACACACACACACACACACACACACACACACTGTATGAAAGAGGCCAGCTGATTAAAAAAAGACTGAACACCTTTCTCTACCTAGACACAAGCATGAAACACAGCATAATCCCCAAAGTCTGAAAGGGACGAAGGCTGGAGGGGGTGGAGGCAAACAACCCATGAGGAGTCTGGAGCTTCAGGCCAGCACCTTTGAGCTTCTGGCTGTCTCCAGTTTACCACCGCCTTCATTTCAGGGGTGTCTTTCCTTTCTTTAGTAAACAGTAGTTTCTACGTCCAAACGTGTCTCTAGGACAACTAACTGTTCTGAGACACAGAAATCTGGAAATTCTAGTGGGTATCCCCAGTCTCAGATCCAGTCCTATACACAGCTTTCCTTGTTAACTTTGGATTTCAAGAGATGTCTCTACAGATAAAATAATCTACATATTTGCATATACATGTATATGTATGTTCTATGTATTTTTTGTGTATGTGCATGATATGTGTATGGACTCATGATACAGCAGTTTGTGGAGATCAAAGGACAACTTTAGGAAGTCAGTTTTCTCCTTCCACTATGTGAGTGAAGGAGCTCTGGCCAGCTGGAGCATGGCAAACACGGCTCTGGCAGGCCTTGCCCTTCTCTCCCATTCCCTCTGCTGAGCTAAAACCATTAGACTACATTCCTAAAGCTAGACACCAAGGTCTAGTCCCTTATTTGGCCACTACCTTTTCCAAGGTCCAGCTATCAAAATATTGAGGTCCAGCAATCAAAAGCCCTGTTTGGCTCACTTAATTAACATGCCCAATTAAAATTAAACACCTCATCCTAACACGGGGAGTTTCTTCTTGTACCTTTTTCCTTTTCTTTCTTTCTTTCTTTTTTTTTTTTTTTTTGGTTTTTCGAGACAGGGTTTCTACATATTGTTTTAGAGGCTGTCCTGGAACTCACACTGTAGACCTCTATCCAGAGGCAGTCTTTTGTGGTCGTGTCCCACCCTTCAATCCCCCCCCGCGCAAATACCTCTTCCTCTTCTCCCTCGTTCTGTATCTCCTGCCTTTATCTCTTATTCCCTGTCCCCTGTTCCTCTGGGGCAAATAAATCTCCTTTGTGCTGAGAACTTGGTCTTGGGGGTCCTCTGACGGTGGGTACTGGCGATGGGACTTAGGTCGTTAGGCTTGGCATCACGTTCCTGTACCGACTGAGCCATTTTGTCGGCCCCATGTGAGTTATATATATGTTCCATATATTATGAATGCATGCTTGTTGTGTGCATACGTGTCCCCGGGAGGCCTCGGGCATCTCGTTCTAAAGCGGCTCCAGCGGTCACCTGAAATCCACTAAGGAGTTGGATGCTTCCAGCAGTGTTCAGCAAGTGGAAAGTTAGAGAAGACCAGGAACCCACAGTGGGAACCCCGCCCACTGAGTCGCCTGCGCCTGCGCTTGCCTCAAGCCCATCTCGCCTCAGTGCGCAGGCGTGGCTCAAAGCGCAGGCGTTTGACGTCACCGAAAGCGCCAGCGTGAGCGGCGAGAGGCGTCGCGCTGTGACGTGCGTTGGCCATGGAGGCGCTGGGTGGTGAGGAGCCCTTAGGGCAATGGGAGAAGCCGAGGCTGGGACTGCGTAGTGGCCCCGGTGGTCCGAACTTGGCGTGTGGAGGCGCGACTTGGCCCGTTACGGCTGTGATGCCCAGGCTGACAACCACGAGGGGGAATCAGTTTGGCCCTCGCCCGGCGGGGCTAGATACGTTTAAACTAGAGCAGGGGTAAGGGGTGGTGGTGGGGCCGTCTTTCGGCGTCTAGCACCTGCGCAGCGTGTTCACTGCTCCGCTGTGAACGAGGGTGCATATGCACCAAGCAGCGAAAGTCTGGAAAGCATCTACTTGCCAGTCAGTGGGGTCTGCCCTTGCAAACGCTGTGATGCCACGACATTTACAGAGGACAAAAGTTGGGGGCTGGAGAGAGAGAGCTCTGTGGTTAACAGCGCTTGTTGTTGGGTTTTGTTTGTTTTTATTTTCGTTTTTCGAGACAGGGTTTCTCTGTATTGTTCCTGGAACTCTTTCTGTAAACCAGGCTGGACTTGAACTCACAGAGATCCACCTGCCTCTGCCTCCCGAGTGCTGGAATTATAGGCATGCACCAGCAACGCCCGAAAAGAGCGCTTGTTGTTCTTGCAGAGGACTGGAGTTAAGTCCCATAACTTCAGTTCCAAGGGAAGGGACCCTGGCCTCCGCTGGCACCTCCTCCTCCCGCCCCCCCGCAGACAAATGTGCTTTCTATGCACTAGTCTTGTGAGGTTTAACAATTTAGCATTTGTAAGGTTTGACAACTTAAAAGGACAGGTTGAGGGTGTGGTTCAGTGACAGTGTGCATGCTTAACACGCTTAAGGCCCCCCTGAATTTGACCCACTGGACTAGTACATAATTGAAAAAACTACATTCCAGCCAAACCTGGTGGTGCACATTTGTAACCCTTCCTACTTGGGAGGCTGAAGCAAGAGCACTTCAGGGTTAAGGCCCGTCTGTGCAACAGAGTGACACCCTGCCTCAAAAAGGCGTGCAGCTCATCAGAAGACGCTTGCCTAGTGTGCTGGAGCCCCTAGCACTGCAGAGAAAATACAAACGGTTACACAGCTGTGTTTTACAGCGTGCTCCCATGTCCTAGCAGAAATGGAGACTGAACAGGAGCTCTTCTCTCAACTGGTGAGGGGACTTGAAGGAAAACTAGTATTTCCATTGCTCTGAAGAGACACTTGGCACCTTAACCTGGTCTGGTATGGACACAAACTCCTGTGCAGATATTGTCACAAGAGCAGGTACACAAGTGGCCACATGCACTGTGGGATTGTTTTTTTATCAGTAAGTCACAGTCCTCTGTTGTCATAGGGGTCTCCAAGCAAGGCATCCGTGAAAGAATTTGGGACTATATGGAATCACATGATTTAGCTGACTTTCCCAGACCTGTTCATCACAGGATTCCCAACTTTAAGGTACAAAAGTGTTCCTGGTGTTGTTAGAAGGGGATCAAGCTATCCCTGGGAGAGTCAAGTCAGTAACACAGCTCTTCTGCTTTCTGTTAGGATTGATTTTAGAGGCACAGTGAGCAGAGGCAGAATCCAGGAGGGCCTGGAGGGCTCTGTGTTTTGACACATTCCCCTCCATTACCCAAAGGAGCACAGCCTCTCTGTGGGAGTGAAAGGGTTGCACTGTAGCTGCTACCAGTGCTGTCCACAGAGCTGGCCATCCTTAGCCACTTAGTGGAGGGGCTCATGGAACCCCTCAGAGGGAAGCCCAGCCTTCAGTGCCCAGAGAAGCATCATGTGACCAAAGCCCTGGTCCTCAGTTTCCTAACTGTTCAAAATACTAGTCAACCCAAATGACTATTGCTGATAGCTTGCATGGAAAATAATTAGCCTGCAGGAGGCAATGTAAGCCAGGTACTGCTCAAGCTGGCCATCCGGGCACTGGGAAGACAGAGGCAGGAGGATCAGGAGTTTAAGGTCATCCACAGCTACGTTGTGGGTTGGAAGTCTGACTGGGCTACATGAAACCCTGTCACAGACAGAGAGATGGGGCAGGAGGGCATGCAGTGTAACATTGTTTGTGGTCTTTGCTTTATTCTTTTGAAGAGAGCTGAGATGCTTGTGAAGATAGACCAAGGTCCTAGTTGGCCTAGGACTGGTGCCCACCAGCCCCAGAAGTCTTGAGTTCAGTTCCCAGCAACCACATGGTGGCTTACAACTATCTAAAATGGGATCTGGTGCCCTCTTCTGGCATAATGTCGACAGAGCACTTAAATACATAAAATAAGTAAATCTTTAAAACAGAACAATACCTGAGTTCTGTACTAGTCCGTTTCCATCCTGTGCTCATTCTGAGGTATCTCCTTGGGGAAATATGGGCTCCATGTCTGGGTGGATGCTGGACTGTGATGCCTAGGCCATACTTGGCCCATGTCCTCACGGTGACCTGCAGTCACGTTTACACAGGGTGCTTCTCGGGCTTCGGAGCATTTCCCACACCTGCATGCTTTCAGTGTGGCAAGAACCATTAAAGTCAACCCTGATGCTCCTCAGAGGAATGCCCGCTTCCTCGTGCTGGAGGTGAGTACAGCACTGTCTTTGCCTAACTAGGGGTCTTACCTGGCTTGCCAAAGCATCAAAGACCTGGAAGTCTTTGCTGGGACACAGGAAGTGAAAGTGGACCCTGATAAGCCCCTGGAAGGTGTCCGGTTGCTGGCACTGCAGGTAACTCCATGTTCTCAAGCTTCCCTCCATCGTGAGGGCTCTTCCTCCAGGTGACTGCTGAGTGCATGCAGTGGCTAGGTAAATTGTGCTGTGACTGCAATTCACAACAGTCCATTTCTTCACTAAATTTGTACATTTCCTTGAAACAAAACTGCTCAGTTAGAAATCTGATACTGTGATAGGTGGTAGTGGTGCATACCTTTAATCCCAGCACTTGGGAGGCAGAGGCAGGCAGATCTCTGTGAGTTCAAGGCCAACCTGGTCTACAGAGAGAGTTCCAGGCTAGCTAGGGCAACACAGAGAAACCCTGTCTTGAAAATCCAAAATAAATAAATGTGTGGACCATTTCTCAAAAGAGAGCACCCGTAGATAGCTCTTAAGCAATTATAATAACCAAAGCAGAGCCACAAAGGTATCACTGAATGACAGTTACTGTAATGTGATGACTGACATAGCTTTACACAGTGGCTTTGGAAATCAGCCTGGGACTGCCAGAGGCCATGGAGTAACTTGATCCGAGCAGGATGCCTTCCATATTGTGCAGTAAGGAAGGTCATAAGACCTTTGTGCTGAGAAGATCAGTGGCATGCAACTCCTCTGCTTCTCAAAGCTGAACAGGATTTGGCCCATGAGACTCAAAGAGGCTTCCTGGAAGCACAGAAGTGTCTGCCTTACTTCCCAGGCCGTGAGATGGTATTTGAACTAGAATGACACCCCACACAGCAGTGAGAGCAGCAGGGAGCAGTGGGAGCCATTGGTGATGGGAGGGGACACTGGGGATGGACACTGTACTGTCACCAGCAGTCCACAAGTGGTCCCCAGGGGAGCCAGGCATGAGAGGGGAGACAGCCCAGGTGTGCTCAGGTGTTCTTAGCTGAGATTCCCTTTCTTCATGGGGAAAGCATGCACTTGCTGTGTAATTGTCTTTTCCCTCAAAGAACAAAAAGACGCTGCTGGTCCCAACACCACGACTGAGGACAGGGCTGTTTAATAAGATCATACCACCTCCTGGAGCCACTAAAGACATACTAAGGAAATGTGCCACCTCCCAGGTGAGTGCTAGAAGCCCCCACCCTAGAGGACTGTCCATGAGTCAGTGTACTGTAAAGTAGAACACCATGAGTTTACACAAAGTCATGAGAGCAGTGTTAAAGTATTCCACAGTTCTGCCCATACAGTAGATATTTAAATAGATGCTTTGGCTAGTTAGAAATGCTTGTTCGAGAACTGGTTAAGAGCAGCATCCGGCACTCCGGTGCCCTCTTGTGGTAGATTTGGTGCTGTGCGCCTGTGCTTGCTCCCACCTGTTTAGATGAAGCTGTGGAGGGCAGGATGGGCTGGAAAGTGCCTGCTTGTCAGTTGTAACTGCTGACAGGAGCACGATTGCATCATCAGAAACTTCACAGTCCAGCTAAACTGGAGTCTGTAGATTCATTGATGTGTTAGAGAACCAGGATTTTCATCTTACATTAAATAACATTTGGTAGCTGTTTAAAGAGCCATAAACCCATGTCATTTTACTTGAATGACTTTATTTTCTGATAACTTTTCTTATGGAAAAAATAGAATTGACCACAGCTTACAGAAATATGTACAGTATGCTATGCAGATAAAATAATACGTATGTAGAGGAACAAGTTTGGGAGGGCTGAATTTGGTGGTGCGCATCTGAAATCAGCTATTGGGGAAGCTGGGGCGGGAGGATTGGTGATCCAAACCTGCCTTGTCATTATAGCAAGACTGCATTTCAGAATAAATATTAAAAGGAATTGGGGTGCTCACTAGAGCCCTTCCCCGTTACAAATGAGGCCTCAGATTCCATCCCAGCACTGAAGAAAATGGAAAAAGATGAAAAGTAAGATGAAGCCATCGTTCTGGTCAATCCCAAGCCCACAGCTCAGGATTCTCAGAAACAGGGCAGTGGTCAGTCCTGAACCCAACTCAGTCAGTGAGGAGCCTATTTCCACGGCCACTGAGAGGGAGGCCACAAAGCTCCAATAGGGTGGGTACTTGAGGCATGCCCTGTGATGTGCCCCAGGGAGCCCCATCCTGGCTGTACACCGATCCCAGAAGACACTTGCCAGCTCTCTGACCTGCTGCACAGGTGCAGTCCCCTTGCATTTCTATGCAGGCCTCCACCATCAGGGTGACTGGGTGCACAGCAAGAGTGCCCTGCCTGAAGCTATGGCACATGGGATACTGACCGTGTCTAGCTTAAGGTGTGTAACCTCCCTTCTAACATCTGTCCTGGTGTCCCTGTGCTGCGGGACCCGAAGCTCCTGTGACTCGGCAGGTCTGGCCTGGCTGTGTGCAGCCCCCACCTGATTCTACCCTCGGTGCTCTTTTGGGATTAGTGCTCTGTGACTGTGTGGCTCGTTCCCTCTGGCCATCTTCCTGGGATAGGAATTGTAGAAGACACACCCTCAAGTTGTTCCTGGAGGTGGCTGTCCTAGGATACTGCCTCCTGTAGGGAAGTGTGGGAGTCACATCTGCTCTGAGACCATGAGCTGGACCTTGTATTTCTGTTTATAGGGTGTGCGGAACTTCAGTGTCCCTGTGGGCTTGGACTCCGGTGTCCTCGTGGATTTAATTGTGGTGGGATCTGTCGCTGTGTCTGAGCAAGGTAAGGTAGAGATAGGCTGTCCAAGTGTCCTGAAGGCTGCCCTGTGCACTCTCCCCTGCCAGTCATTCCCCTCTGCTTGCCTGACCTCAGCCACTGCACTGGTCACTTATAGAGGCTTTGTCCTGTTTTAGTCAGCCCAGAATCTCATGAGTGCCATCCAATAGTGAATGCAATCTGGATGATCCTCACGGGCATTCACAGAGGTCTGTTTCCCTCGAGATCCTAGGTTCTGTGACATTGACAGTTGACGCTAACAGTCACAGGAACCCCAGCACCTCTCTTCCGACACATGGTTGGGATTGTCCAACTTGAACTTTTAGTAGGCTGATAGTGATCCTTTAAAGACAGTGTTGTTGTATGGTCCGTGCTGGCCTCAGAGTTAGTCTTCCTCTTAGGCTCCTGGTTCTGCCATGTTTCCCGGATCCCCACCTACCATGGATGTGTGCCACCACGTAGGGCTTCCTGCCTGCCTTTTGACTTCCTCTCAGCTCAGCCCCAGCTATGGGGCCTGCCCATAGATGTCTGCTGTCCTTCTGTCCCACTGTCTCATTCCGTCGCATATGCATTTCTGTCAGAGTAGCTCAGGGAGGTGTGAATCTTAGGCATCTTGGTGGCGTGCTTCCTCCTGGGGTGATGCTGTGCTGGCACCCAGACTCCAGGCGAGGAGAGCCGGGTACACACTGGAAGCCAAAGACCATCACTGCTTGCTGGCTGTTGCAGTCCTTTGTGCTACTTCCTGAATGGGCCTGTAACCGTGCAGCCCCACTAAGCCTGGCCTCCCTCCCCTTTGCATCTGGCTTCTCTTCCTAAGGCAGGCAGATCAAACGCCTGCCCTTGGAAGTAAACTCTCTTTTCTGTCTTCACACACTGACCTTTTGTGGCTTTCGGTTTTTTTATTTCAAAACTTCAGCTCTCCATCCCCCTCCTTAGCCCCTGAGTGCTGACTGCAGCTGTGCCACAGCACCTGCCGCTGTCACTGCTTTCCACTGTGTCTTGCTGACCTGACTGGCACACAAGTCCAGGCTTGGTCACCGCATGTGGCATCTGAGGTTCATCTACTCACTGTGCACTTTGGTGCCCATGGGTTCATGTTCCAGAGCCACTCATGGGTTGCTGTGGACAACAGGAACCCTGAGGTCTCATCCTTTCCACCTAGGCCTGATAGGAACCCACTTCTGCTGTACCCCTGCCTTGTCTCTTAGGCTGGCGAATTGGGAAGGGAGAAGGCTATGCTGATCTTGAATATGCCATGATGGTGTCGATGGGAGCTGTTCATAAGGGGACACCAGTTGTCACCATTGTCCATGACTGCCAGGTATGTACTGCAGATGTGTCATTTATGCCCTTCTCAGTCACTCCAGGAGAGGGAGGGGTGAGAGAGACACTTATTTTTATAGCAGGCTTTCTTGGATCACCAACCCCCAGATCATGACACAGAAATTATTTTTTATATATATTTTATTTTTAATTTTAAATTAGGTTGCTTCACATATCAATTCCAGATCCCTCTCCGTTTCCCTCCCCTCCTCCCGTGCCCTCCCATCAACCCCCCAATATCCCCTCATTTCCCCAGGGATGGTGAGGCCCTCCATGGGGGTGTCCATAGACTGTCATTTCATCCAGGGCAGGGCCTAGGCCCTCCCCCAAGAGTTCAGGGTGAGAGTGCACCTCACATTGTTGAATGGGAGTCCAAAGTCCATTTGTATGCCAGGGATAAATACTGATCTACTAACCAAGGCTCAATAGATTACCTAGGCCTCCTCACTGACACCCACATTCAGGGGATCTGGATCAGTCCCATGCTGGATTCCCAGGCATCAGTCTGGGATTCAAGAGCTAACTCTTGTCAGGTCAGCTGTTTCTGGGGGTTAAACCAGCCCAGTCTTAATCCCTTTGGTCATCAGTCCTCCTCCTCTGTCACTGGATTTCTTGAGTTCAGCTCAGTGCTTCCAACAGTCACTGAATGAAGGTTCTGTTTCCCAGACTCTCTGGCTATGGGATTGTAGGCTGGCACTCCCCAGATCTATGTCTAAAATCCATATATGAGAGAGTACATGCCATGTTTCTCTTTTTGTGACTGCGTTACCTTGCTCAGGATGGTTTCTTCTAGTGCCATCCATTTGCCTGCGAATTTCAGGATTCCATTGTCTTTTCTGCTGAATAGTACGACACAGAGACTATTATTAGTTGTGAATGCTCAGCATTATCTTATGCTTGTCCTACTAGCTCTTGTAACTTAATTTAACCTGTTTTTCTTCATCTACATTTTGTCATGGGTCTTTTTACCTTTCATTCTGTATGTCCTATATTTCCTATTTCTTCCATGTCTGTTTGTCTGGCAGCTGCCTAGCTGGCCAGTCCCAAACATCTCCCTCTCTTCCTCCCTCGTTCTCTATTCTCTCTCCTCTTGAACCTGGACTCCTCCTCCTCCTCATTCTCTCTGCCCACCAGTCCCACCTCTCCTACTACTGCCTAGCTACTGGCCATTCAGAGGTTAAGAGCACTGGCTGCTCTTCCAGAGGTCCTGAGTTCAATTCCCAGCACCCACATGGTGGCTCACAACCATCTGTAATGGGATCTGGTGCCCTATAGACTAATCAGGTGCCTTAGGCAGACAAGGTGAAGCAGCAACACATCTTTACATAATTAAACAAAAGCAGCATAAACAAATGTAACATATCTTTGCCTAATTAAAGTAATATTCCACAACACCTGTTCTTGCATCGTGGTGTTGATTGATGAGGCACTGAGTCTCATGCACTGAAGATCATCTATTCAGTTGCTCAGTTCCTTCAGGGCCCTGCTGTAACCTTACCCTGTCCAGGTTGTTGACATCCCTGAGGCTCTTCTGGAGGACCACGATCTCACCGTTGACTACATCATCACTCCCACCAGGGTCATTGCTACAGGCTGTGCATACCCAAAGCCAACAGGGATCATCTGGTCCAAGGTGGGTCATTACTGTGGCTAGCATATAATGACTCTCATGTGTTCCTTGTGTGGCCAGGTCACTGTCCACTGTCCTGTGTGACTGGACATAGCATTGCCTTTGAGTTTGAATGATGTAGCTCTGAGTCACACCTTCAGGCTGAGGCTTAAAGTCTACCTAGAAAGCAGTGATGGGAGGGTCACTGCGCTGTGGCTCCTCTGCTGGTGTTTTTTAATTGTGTGTGTGTGTGTGTGTGTGTGTGCGTGCGCACATGTGTACATGTTCATGTATGTGCATGTGTAGAGGCCAGAGGTCAGTTGGGTGTCATTCGTCAGGGTGTGTGCCACCATGCCCTGAGGGTTTTTATTTTTTACAGCCTTTGATGCTGGGCAAGCACTCTGCTACTGAGCTACTCCCAGCCCTTTGCTTATTTTTATTTTGGAGGCAGGGTTCACTGCCTAGGCCTCTCAAGTAGCCAGGATTACAAGCCTATGCTGCCAGCCCCACCTACAAGATTGCAAACTTCTAGGTGATTGGCACATAAAAATCAAATCTGAGTTATAATTTTTAGAGGATAAGTGATTAATTATAGATAGAGCATAAAAATGTTTTCTGTTTGATTAAAAAGTAGAATTTTTATTTCATGTGGCACATTGGCAGAATGTAATGACCATTCCTAATTGCTAGCTAGGAAACACAGAATCTCCTGTCAGCCTGGGCAGTGACATCAACCCCATTCTGCTAGCCCAAATGTAAGCAGCTAGGAAATGGCAGAGCCAATGTGGTTGGAACTTGTGGAGAAGTGAGCCAAGCCATGTTGGGTGTCATCACTCCCTACTCAAAAAAGACTGTTCCAGAGAAGAGTGATGCCTGGTTGTATAGTAGCCTGAGTATCAGGAGATGCCATCATCGTGGCTCCCATGCTGCTCAGCTTCATAGGAAAGCAACCCTAGAGCCTGAGTGCTGATCTGATATATGCACTACAGAAACTCTGCTTGAACTGGGCATGGTGGTGCATGCCTTAAATCCTAGCACTTGGGAGGCAGAGGCAGGTGGATCTAAAGGCCAGCCTGGTCTACAGTGCGAGTTCTAGGACAGGCTACAAAGCCACACAGAAAAACCCTGTCTTGAAAAACAAACAAAATCCAGCAGCAACAACTACAAAAACAAAACAAAAAATAAATAAGAACCCCTACCTTGGAGACATGGCTGTTCTCTCAGAAACTGCCTGTTTGCCAGCTTTGTGCCACCAGAAGTAAAGAAGAAATGGTCTTTGATGGATGAGAAGTGTCAGAATGGGCTGGACAGGTCTCCTTCCTGGCCCACTGCAGGCTCTGCTGTTGAGGCTGATCTGTCAGCTCAGTCCAAGCAGCCACTGGCAAACTGGCTGCTGGTGGTCCACGTGCACACAGATCAGGCATCCAGCTCACCCTCCCAGGAACACCGTGCCCACATGGGATCTGTCTTCCACTGCCTTTGCAGGTGTGGGATGTTGGTGACTAACTGTAGCAATTCAGTTGGACCTCAGGTGGCCTGTGCAGAAGCCCCACAGATTGACACTGAGCTCAGCAAGCTGTTCATTTAGCGCCTTGGTGGCCCACTGCTAAAGAGTGCTGCATGAGTCTTACTCAGTGTCAGGTCTGTCTGGCTGTCTGTAGGGCCAGGTCACAGTTTGACCCAAGAGATGATCTTGGGCATGTAAAGGACCCTATCCCAGTCTCAGGCACCTTAGGAACCATCACTCTCCTGGAGGTAGCAAAGAATTGCCTTGTGGCCCATATTAATACCACTAACTGCAGGGGCCTCTTCTGGGTGAATGGCCCACAAAGTAACCCCAGTTGTTTCCTCCAGGAAGATAAAAACCCATTCCACCCTCACTGGCACATAAAGGGACAGTCTGGGAAACTTCACAGTGTCAGGATTTCATTTAGGCTGCTGTGGGATCAGAGTTGCAGGTTGGTGACTTTCTTTTTTTTTTTTTTTTAAAGATTTATTTATTTATTACATATACACCAGATTGAATTGTAGATGGTTGTGAGCCACCATGTGGTTGCTGGGAATTGAACTCAAGACCTCTGGAAGAACAGTCAGTGCTCTTAACCTCTGAGCCATCTCTCCAGCTCTGGTTGGTGACTTTCTATTAAGGAATAGAACCCAGGCCTGGCCTGGTATTGCAGGCTTATCATCCAGGCACTCTGGATTCTGAGGCAGGAGGATGGCAAGTTTGATGTCAAGACAAGCCTGGACAGTGATGAAGCTTTGTCTCAAAATAAAAAGAAATGGCTGGGCTGTAGCCCAGTGGTAGAATGCTTGTATAGCTTGCATGAAGCCCTGTGCTTCACGCCAGCATCACAGAAATAAGTAAAACTAAACATGCAGGGGAGTCTTTCTTGTCTCCCCCAAGACTGCCCTGGGCCCTTCAGCAACCTTTCATCCATATGGGGTGGTAATTTCCAGAATTCCTCCTGAGTATGTGGGCGTGGCCTCGGTGTGACTAGTCCCTAGACACCCCAAGACCAACTGAGGTCACTGTCTTTTTCAGGTCAGTTGTGAGATGCTTACAAAAATCCCAGTACTCAGGAGCCTTCGTGAGCGAGAGAAGCGGGCCGGGAAGGATGTCACTCTTCAAGCTGAGCCTGGCAGCCAGCACCTAGCTGGGAGACCCTGAGATGTACCACAGTTACAAGCAGCTTCCGTGGGAGAGTCCCATAGCCCCCTGCAGAGCGTGGACACCCACCTAGCTGCCACTGTGTGCGTGGGAAACCTGCCCTACAGTGCTCGTGTAAGTGAGCTGAAGAGAGCCCTCCAGGAGCTGAGGGTGGTGCCCCTTAGGCTTATCTGGCAGGTCCCAGCGCAGGGCCCTTCTACACTATGTAGACTCAGCTGCTGCCCGGCAGGCTGCCTCTCTCCTTCAGGGCCTACACCTGGGTGCCAATACCTTGAGGGTGGCTGGGGCAGCCGAGGGATACGTGACCTGGTGAGCAGCTCCCACCAGAAGAACCATGCCCTCTCTGTTGTTGGGATGCCTCTGGCATGTGACGATTTGCCATTGTTGGTGGCTTGCTGCTATGTGAGGCATATGCTCTGTTCTTCCTGGGAAGAGGGTAAACTTCCCTAATCTTCCCTAATGCATGACTCTCAGGATACTGTGAGCTCTGACTCGTTCTGATCCATTCCAGTTCTGGTTCCGGTTGTGAAGTCCATGTGATGCTCTCTGGGTGCAGACGGTTTAAGGACCGAGCAGCAGGGACAAAAGGTAGAGAATGGAAAGTAAACACAGGCTGGCAGAGAAGAGGCCAGGGCAGGGAATGAGGGCAGGCAGCAGAGCCAGAAGGCTGTCCTTGAAATCATTGCAGACCCCCAGTCCTACAGAACAGAAGTGGGAATGAGATTCTGCATCCAGAGACAGAAACCCCACATTGTGCACATGTGTGATCATGTCTACCCAGGCTGCACAGGTATACGTCATTGAGCTTAGGGCCTCACTGCCCCTCAGTGAGGATGAGAGGGGTTGGCAGCTGCCTCCGCTTTCCCAGACACAGCACTTGTGCCATTGATCCTTGGCAAAAAGTCAAAATAAGCACTTAGATGGAGAGTTTGTTTTATTCAAATGTGCATGCCTGAGAAGTTTCTTGTTTTTGCCAATGGGTCTTCCACCGTGTCCATTAACATAGTCCTTTGCCCTAAAAGGGCAGGCCTTGTTCACATATTAAGGAAAAAAAATCTTGTGACCCATGTCTCCTTGCCTTAGAAAGCTGTGCTAGCTCAGTAACCACCCCTTCCAAGTTGTCACAGGTACTATGGGAAGCAGGCCTCAAGCTGCACTGGCCTCTGGCCTTGCACCTGCTAGCCTGGCCTTCCCTCCCACTCCTCCCCAGCACAGCCACTGGCCATGCCATCCTCTCCCTGCTCTGCTTTCCCCAGGGTCCTCACCTCTCTTGTGTCCCTTCTTACTCTTGATGCTCCCTGTGGGACAGCAGCTACAGGTTAGCAGGATGGAGCTATCTTTTCCCTCTTGCTGCAAACCAGAAGGACAGGAGCAACCAGGAAATGCCGCGTTAGGGTAACTGTCCATCAGAGCTGGAAAGCGGAGAGATGACCCTTACCCAAATATCAGCCAAGCCTGAATCCAGTCAAATGATCACTCAGCTCATCCAGATGGTGTGGGCCTCTTGTCACTCGTGGCCAGAATACACCGGATGTGTTGACACACAGTCTGAGCCACTTGTGTATTTGTGTGAAGCGACCTCAGCACTGAAGCTCAGGTGCCCTCAGTCTCATCTGTAGATGCTGCAGAGTGTACCCTGTCTCAGGATGCCCTCGAGGTCTAGTTCCCCAGGTAACTGATGAGCCACAGGTGACAAAGTTACTGCATTCTTTGTAGCTGTGATTGTGTAGCACACAATAAAAAACAGACAAAACACTTTCAGGTGCTGAGGTGGCAAAGATGCTGTAAGTGTTGCTACAGGATTCTGGGCCCCTCCATGTTATCCACCCATGTGGTATTTGACTTCACCAATGGTGGAGACTTGGGTTGTTTCCAAGAAATTGGTCCTTTGGGCTGGATCTCACCCTGACTGTCTTAGGGTTGCTATTGATGTGATGAAACACCATGATCAAAAGCAGCTTAGGGAGGAACAGGTTTATTTTGCTCAGAGTTCAGTATAACCGTTGATCATCAAAAGCAGTGAGGGTAGGAACTCAGGCAGGGTAGGAACCTAGAGACAGGAGCTGATACAGAGTCCATGGAGGGGTGCTGCTTACTGACTTGCTCCCCACAGCTTGCTTAGCCTGCCTTCTTATAGAGCCCAGGACCGTCTGCCCAGGGATGATCCCACCTATGATTGCCCTTCCACATTAATCACTAAGCAAACGCTCAGGCTTGCCTACAGCCTACTCTTCTGGAGGCATTTTCTCAATTGAGATTCCCTCCTCTCTGATGACTCTAGCCTGTGTCAAGTTGACATAAAACTAGCCAGCACACTGGCCTCTTCCTGTGTGTGCTTGCCCTGCATCCTGGCTGTTGTGATGAGAACATAGCCTCATCCTCCTGCCATGACTGGGGCTTATATCTGAAGCTGAGGCAAACCCTTCTGGGCATCTTCATAGTGATGAGAAACTAGCTAAGACAGGAAGACACAAGCCAATGGCTTTCCCAGCATCCGTTATAACTGGCTTTTAGAAATGTAACAGCGGGAGCTAGAGAGATGCTCAGCTGTTAGGAGCCCTTTCTGCTCTTCCGGAAGACCTGAGTTCAGCTCCCACCACCCATGTCACAAAGCTTGTCTGACGTCATGGGTACCGAACACACAGCATACACTTACATGCACACACATACAATTAACTACTCATAAGTAGTTGGGACCATGGTTGATGAGCAGCTCAGGCTCCTATAGGTGAAATGAGTTTTACAGAAAGTGGTTACAGATCCACAGAGATGCCCCAGTTCCAGCATGTCCAGGAAGATCCCAGAAGAAGCTCCTCATGGAACCAAGCAGCAAGCAAATTCTTGGCAGCTGTCACCAGCAAGAGCAGAGGACAGCAGAAGTTGACCTCTGGTCTCCTCCACATGCACGCTCACGTGAGCATGGGAACAGAATGAAGTGGATTGGCAGAGGAGCCACAAGACAGTGACCCTCAATGCTGGCTTCTAGGTGGTTCTAAGCCTTGGCTTGGAGATGAGGTCTGAGGTTACAGGGTCAAAGTTCCAGGTGGTGCTGGTGGCATCCCCCCTGTCCTGCAGTCATGATGAAGCCACACCTAATACAGAAGCCAGGATGTCTCCCCTTAGTGAGGGGTAGAGGCCAGAATAGCAGCAGTCATCATTTTGAGGAGTGAGATGGTGGCTTGAAGGATAGAATGCCAGAGAAGAGTTTGCTGAGCCTGGGGGGTCACTTTAGGTGCCTTAGTTAGGGTTTCCATCACTAATAAACACTGTGGCCAAAAGCAACTTGGGGAAGAAAGGGTTTATTTCATTTTACATTGCCATATCATAATCGGCCATTAGAGGAAGTCAGGAGCTGATACAGAAACCATGGAGGAGGGCTGCTCACTAGCTACCCCCATGTCTTGCTAGACCTGCTTTTAAAACCCAGAACTACCAATCTAGGGGTAGCACTGCCTACAGTGAGCTCCCTCACCCTATCAGTTATCAATCAAAATGCACCAAAAACTTGCCCACAGGCCAGTCTAGTGCAGACGTTTGTGATGTTTCCTCCTCCAAAATGACTCCAGTTCATGCCAAGTTGATATAAAGCTAGTCTCGTTAGGGGAAACACATCTGTCCATCAGGCACCCATGACAAACACCCACAGTCTATCCTGGATGGCCAGGCCCGTGGAAACACATTTAGATGGTGTTCTGAAGCTTGAGATGAAATTTTCTGTTTTTGTAAAAGTAGCCAACATGCAGGCTCGCCTCCTAGACCTGGCCTGATGCTGCCCCCTGGGTCCCATCACCTGGGCTTGATGTCCCCCCCCCGGTGGTCCTGGACACCTGGCCTGAGTGTGATGCTGCCTCTGAGGTTCCTAGTCTCACAGCCTCGGTTCCTGGCAAAGCTATGAAGGAGAAGGCAGCTGTGCTTGTGTACCTTATCTGTGCTCCATGGCCAGCACACAAATAGAATACAAAGCAAAGAGAACATTTATTTATCTATTTATTGTCGTTCTGTGTTTTATTTTTGAGACAGGGTTTCTCTATGTGGCCCTGGATGTCCTGGAACTCATGTAGACCATGCTAGAGCCTCAAACTCAGAGCTCCACCTTCCTCTGCCTGATTCCAGAGTGTTGTGATTAAAGGTATACAGCACTACTCCAGGCTGTTTTTGTTTTGTTTTTGAGACAGGGTCTCCCTGCATAGTACTGGCTACCCTAGAACTAGCTACGTAGACCAGGCTGACCTCAAACTCACAGTGATCGCCTGCCTGTCTCCCACCACACCCAGCTTCGAATTTCAAAATATAAGAGCCTTTCTGCAAAATAGATCTCTCATAGGGCCAATGTATAAGGGTTTCAGATAGGGGACACCCAGCCTGTGGTCCTCAGCACTCTTTAGTCGGAACTGCACCCCTCGCCTTTCTTACACTCTGAACTACCTTTCCCTGCAGTTGGGGGAGAAAGGGGGGCTCTTCTGTTCTCCTGAAGTGCCCGGGGAGCTTGGTGCATCTTCCAGGAAGCTCTTCAGCTTTCCCCATCAGAAACCTTCCTCCAGATCCAGCTAAAGTCATACCACTTTTGGCTTGTCATTTGGGGACCAGCTCCACGCAGTGGTGATCTATGGAGAGGACCAGGCACCCAGCATTGCCAGGACAATGTACCATTTTGGAAGGAATCCTGGGCCAGGGGAAAGAGCCCTCACAGGTCACACTGAGGCAACCCTGTAACCTCACGACTAGGATGACTTGGGGCAAGGGTTTGCTTCCTCGGTAACCAGTCATGCAGTTTCACTTATTGTCGCAGATGATGATAGGCACATGTAAATCATATTAAAGTATAGATCAGCATTCCCTCTGAAAAATGGCAGCTCACAAGAGTAGAGGTTTACCTTAACCGTCTTCATCTTCATTGCAGATGCAGGTTCCTCGGGCAGCTGAGGCCCCAGGAGTGCAGCCAAGTTGCTCTTTACCCCCATAGAGCAGGCTCAAGTCAGGGCCATTTGGCAGGAGAGAAAATCAGTCTTCCCCTGTGAGGTGACTTCAGCCTTCCCACAGCAGAGGAAGCATGGACTTTGGTGTGAGTGTCAGGGTCACCTACCGTTCTGGGCCCAAACTGCATCCTTCAACCCTCTCAACGCTGGGGTGTGGCCCCCACCTCTCTGGTTGGTGCTCCTGTGGGCAACAATGCAGGTCTCAAGGACCCTGGAGTTCTTCCTGCTCCCTCCATGCTGCCAAGCCCCAGAGAGTCTGGGTCCCCCAAGGTTTTTCCTGAGACCTGCCACAGATGTTCAGACAAGCAGACTTAAGTGAGGAGCTGTACTCTCTCCCCGCTGAGGCAGGGCTGCACCCTGTGATTGATGGTCTCCAGGGCCATCAATCAGGACAGTTGAAATGAGAGCTGACAAGAGCCTTTGTGGTGTGGGTGCTCTATACTTTGGTGGTTGGAAGCGGTAAGAACCAGTCTTGAGGTGCTGAGCTGTGGGTAAATCCAGCATGGCCCCCACCTGCAGGTCAGACAAACCCACCAGTAGGAGTAGCTTTCCAGATAAGGGTTTCAGGCCAGAACTGGCTGGAGCTCTTAAGCCTGGCCCTGTGGAATGGAAAATGGCTGTTCCTGGGGGAACACTGACCTGCTCATCCCCTGACCACAAGCCGGACCTCCAGGCCAACTGGAAGCCACGGCAGCAGTGTGTCAGAACACAGAGAACATTGAGTGGTTGAAGAACTCGCAGTCAGAGTCACACACCGCCTTGGGGAGAGGAGGGGCAGGAGGCGACGTGTTCTAGCTGTGTGACCTCAGGCAGGGCTCACCCTCTCTGTGCCTTAGATGACTCTTGAGACTTCTCACATCACCCACACATCACAGGAGGGAAGCAATCAAAGTTCGGAAGGGGCAGAGTCAGGACTGGAACCCCACTCCGTGGCTGTGAGCTTCTCCGGTGGCCTCAGACTCAGTGTGTAGGGGATGTGTTGTTCTGGGACAGCAAAGCTGCCTGGGATGAGGCTGGAAGTAACTTTACCCTCCACCCTCCTGGAGTCCATTTTTCTAAAGCCCCATTGTTTGTGTAAGTAGGAGAAAATAATTAGCTCAACTCCCAACAAAAATAATCCATCTGCCCTGAACTGAGGTGGAAGGGTCTGGGCATGTATACCTGTAGACCGATGAAATCTGTAAGACGTGGACAGCAGGTGGCGCTGCCTCCTCATGAGAGACAGCCAGGGTAAAAACCCCAGGACAGTCTTGGTGCTCCTGCAGTGTCCTGGGCCCCCTCTCCCTGTACTGACATCAGGATGAAGTGCAGCCTGCTGCCCCCCTCCTGCCCCTTGTCCCCCTGAGGTTTACCCCTATGGCCGTCCTCTTGCTACCTTCCTTCACACGCAGGCCTAGCTCTCTGACCCAGCCTGGCGACTGGAGCCGGTGCTGAGGGTCCCAGTGGGAGCTCAGTCCTGCCAGGCCCCTGTCACACAGAAACCCAGAGACATCGTGTGCCTATCTAGAACTTTCTTTCAGGACACATTACCAAAGACAGATGACTTGTCCTTTTTCAGGGACATCTAAGAACCTGGCATTCTCCCAGATGGCCATGGACAGTCAGAGAACATGGGGCCCTACTTTTAATAAAATGCTCAGAGAGGCCTAGCACATGGTCCTTCCCCCAGACCACTGCCGTGTCACCATGAGGACACTCAACACCAGAACTATGCTAGAGTAATGTGGCTTGGGTCCCAGAGGTGCGGTCTGCCCTGGTCAGGCAACCAGTCTACTGAAA